GTGTGCATGAATACATGCGCATGCATGTGTGTACAAACACACACACACACACATTCATGGACATTCAACCACTCTTCAATCTCAGCCCTTGCAGGGCAAGGAGGTTCTTCCCCTCCACCCAGGGCCTCCCCAGGGGCAGGGACCATGGGGACAACTCCTTCCCTTCTTTACCCTAGACCCCAGGTCAGCTCAGGGTGTCTCACCAGCTGGAAGAACACCATTCCATCCCCCCTCCCCTGCTCAATCCCATCCTTGCAACGAGCACTGCCAGGCAGGACACGTGGTGTTTCAGGGGACCCGGAGATGTAAGAGACAGGACCTCAGTCCTCAGCGGGACAGAGACAGACTTAACTCATACAATGCAGCCAATGCAGCTTTGGGCATTAAGGCGGTAGAGCTGCATGACCCTGGACAAGATACCTAACTTCTCTGTGCCTCAGTTTCCTTATCTGTAAAACGGGAATACTAATAGCACCTACTTCATAGAGTTGTTGTGTGGGTTAAATGGGCTATTCAGTGTAGACTTAGAACAGTACCTGAGACGTGGTAAGTGCCAGTGGTTGCCATCATTCTCATGGTTACAAATATAATAATAGGAATGCAAAGAGGAAAGGTGTTCATTCTGCTGGGGGTAGGGGCAGAAGGCTTCACGGAGGGGGTGAGGTTTTAGCTGGGCCTTCTTTGAGAGTTGAAAGGGACTGCTCCTGGTGGAAGGACATTTAGGGAGATTTAGGGATTCCTGCGGGGCAGGACTGTGCCTGGGATTTAGTACAGGGAGACTGAAAGACAGGTGGGAGCCAGGTCATGCTTGGCTCTGCCATGCCAGGGATGGGGCAGCAGGCCTCTCCCAAGGTCACCGAGCAAAGAGGAGGCAAGATCCGGTTTGTGTGTTCCCTGGCAGCTGGCAACAGAGGTGTGAGCAGACCAGAAGGGGAGAGAGCCTTGCAGGGGCGAGTAGCCTGCATCCTGGCGGAGTGGTCCAGGAGGAACCGAGAGGAGATACTCAAAAGCCTAGGCCGTTGGCCCTATTTGGTGTGGGTAGTGAGGGAAGCCTTTAAGACCACTGTGGGAGTGTGTGGATGTGGGGCCGATGACAGAGATTTGGAATAGGTGGAGGTGCAGGGCTGGGAGGAGGAGGGCTGCTTGCTCTTGACCTTGGAGGAATCTGAGGAAGTTGCATGTACCTGTCTGTACTCAGCGGGAGATCTGGGCTTCAGACACACCAGATCCTTATCTCGGGGATGGTGGAAGCCCCGGGATGGTTGAGGAAGGGGCGAAGTCGAAGTGCGTGTGGAGCAGAGGGGGTTGGAGGGGAAGCTAAGGAGATGAAAGCCCTGCAGGAACTTTGGGGAACACCCCCCACAGATCCGCACCAAGCCCCATCTTGGTGGTTAACAGGCCCAGCTCCCTGGCTATGCAGCCATGTACTTGTATTTAACCTCTTTGAGCCTCAGTTTCTTCATCTCGGAAATGGGATGTAGGTGAGGATGAAATGAGTAAATGCGAGTTAACCCCCCGGAACAATGCCTGACACACAGCGAGGGCTCTGCAGAAGCACTCTCTGCTGTCATGGCCATCACTGTCATCCTCCCTGGGCCAGTGCTGCAGGTAAGGAGGTTCAGCACTTCTGCAAAAGGGGTGCCGCCCAGCCTCCAGGACGAGGCAGTTCCGCTGCATTTGTGAAAGTGTAGAGGTGGGGGGTGGGTGGAGGTGCGACCTGAGGTCCTTAGCAGAGACAGTCTTCCCGCTGCCCAGTCAGCCCAGTCCAAGTGCTCAGGACCCTTACCACTGTTCCAGTGCAGGGTCACTTCCCACCCAGAAACGTTTCCCTGCTACCTTCTGGGGACTGGCTTCAGAATGGCCGCTCTGGGACTCAGGCCCTGCCCTCCTCGATGGAGGCGGCGCCAGGACTGCGGGTCCGGCATTTGGGGCTAGGGACACAGCTGTCTGGGTCCCCGGACCAAGGGAGGTCCCGGGACATTAAAACATCCGCCAATTCTGGGCGGGTCCCGGTCGGGTGTGTCCTGCCCGAAGTGAAAGGAGACCTCCATCCATCTGCGATCCCCCTCTTCCCCAAGAACCCTCCCCTGACTCTCCCCTCCCCCACGCCCCGCTGCGTCCCCCACTCCCTGAGCAGTCTCTGTGCTCCGGGACCTCTGGATCTCCCGGACGCGTCCAGCCCGAGTCTGAAGACCCGGAGTAGAGCGGGATCAGCCAAAGAGCGCCCCTGTGAGTGCCCCCCCCCCCCGCTTCTCTCAGAGCGGGTCTGTGCACTTCGAGCTCCCGGCCCCATACCACTCACCCGCTGGGACAAGAGCGCCCTGTACCCTTTCCTACCCCAAGACTCCCACTCAGCGCATCCTCAGACACTGCCCGTCGCCCCCTGTCCTCCTCGCCCCCCCAGGTCGCATGTTTGCACTCTCTGTGCAAGGCCTCAGGCGCGCCCTTCCGTCCTTGGCCCGCGGTGCGACCCCGACACAGCGGCGCGCGGGCCCGGTGGGACCCTCGCCTCGCCACCTCCCTGGCCGTGCGAGCGCCCCGCCCCGCCAGCCCCGGACCCGGGTCGGCGCGCCCCCTGTCCTCCCCATGCTCAAATTCCGGTGTTGGCGCCTGGCAACCCTCTCCACGGGGCGGGTCGTGCCCTCTCCGCCCTACCCGGGCACTGAGCGCCGCGCCCGCTTCCCTCCCGCCTCAGCCGCCGGTCCCGCCGCGCTCCAGCCCGACCCTCCAGCCCCCGCCCGCCCCAGGAGGTCCGCGTCGAACCCCTCCGCCTCTCTGTCCCCTGAGTGCTGCCGGCGGGGCCCGGGCCGCAGCCAGGGCGTGCCCCCTCGCCCCCGCCGTGCCCCCCGCTCGCCCGCCCCGCTCGCCCCTGACCCGGATCAGAGAGTCCAGCGCCGGGCCGTCCAGGCACGTGAAGTTCTGCAGCAGCGCCCACTTGTCGCGCTGGAACCTCGCGCTGGAATCGCGCGCCGCGGGGCTCTCCAGCACCCAGAACACGCCGGTGCCCAGCGCCAGGTAAACCAGGTAGGCGAGCAGCAGGAGCAGGGTGCCCGGCACCGCGCACTTGGGAGCCCTGTAGTCGGGCGTCGCCTGGGCTGCGGGTCTGCACAGAGCCAGAGAGGCAGGGAGGCCTGGGCCTGGAGCCATGGGCCAGGTCTGAGTCGGAAAGAAAGGGCTAGGAGCTCGGCTGGTCCCCTCCTCAGCCAACGCCTGTCTGTGGCCAGTTTTGTCAGCAGAGGAGGCTTGCTGGGGAATGGGACAGCCCAGCCCCACCCCGCACCGGGATCCAATCCCAGGGACAAAATGAGGCCGGAGCTGTGGGCATCTGGCCCCGCCTTGAGTGTGTGTGGTGTGCTCATCCCCCAGGCCTAGCTCAGGGAGAAGGGGAGGGCTGTGGGGTGACCACAAGCCTCAGAAGGAAGGGGCCCAGAGCCCCCCAGGGTGTCCTACTGTAGGGAGCAGAGGGAGGGACTCCTGGAAACTCCACGCAAGAGGAAGAGAAAGTAGAAGACATGTTCATTGCCTTAGGGCCCCAGCCTAAGTTCTTGGATCCTGGGACTATCACCAAGGACTTGCCACCTGTCAAGTCCTCCCTGGATCTCTTCCAACAACCCCCTTTCCATTGTGTACCCAAAGGTGAGGGACCCCAGCTGATCACCTCTTGTCTATGAACTTGGGAGGCAAGAGGATCCTTGACCAGTGGGTTTGTTCATTCCCTGCTTCTGAAGAGGCCCCCTAACTCCCTTCCTGGGGGAAAGGTCCAGGGTATATAAGGAGTCCCCTGGGAGTCTTCCGTTTCCCAGGCCTCTTCTTCATACCAGGAAGTCCTGTGGTGTAACCTGGGTCACTCTTGTTGCTGTAGATTCTTCCCTGTGTGTCCCGTCTGGAGCATCCTCTTCCTCACAGCCTTGCCTCAGTCCTGTCCAGAGCCCCCGGCCACTATTGGGCCTGCCTTGATGGCAGACGTAGGGGCAGAGGTTTGGAGTCCTTCCTGAGGCTGGGCTTTGGATGGACTAGCCTCAAACTCTCCTCTCCTTCTGGCCCGAGATGTCAGAGTCCGGCAGGAGAAAGGCCAGGGCTGCAGAGCGCATTCCCAAAGGAGGCCAGGCCTCCATGGAGCTCATTTCCTGGGGGATCTCCTGGGATCTGCTGGCTCCCCATTTTCCCAGGGTGTGTTTAGAAAGGCTCTTAAGACAGACACTCAGAGGGGGTGATGAGGTCAAGGGGTGCCCTGAGGAGTCAGGGGGAGGCTACATTCCGGAAGGTAGGTGGGACACCCAAGAGCCCCGCCTTGTTGACGGACAGCTCCAGGCCTTAGGCAAGGGTAGCTGGTGGGCTCTGAGAGGTAGCTGCCACCTTCCTGAGGGCAGCTATCCTGTTTGCACGAAGATGCTCCAAAGTCTCTGCCCAACCTCTCTCCTTGACGCTCCCTGCTAGCCCCTCCTATGGGCTCTTGTCATACCTGCTCTACCCCATTGGGGGTACTGGCTCAGGGCCTTGCGGCTTGTCTAGTCCTTCCATTGGATGAAATGCACAGGGAGAGCAGGATCTTTCACTGTTTGCCCCCAGAGCCTGGAACTCTGCCAGACACACAGTGGGGGCCTGACAAATGCACATTGTGCATATATCAAGTGAGGTGAAAATAAACTCACCCTTCGTCTGCTGTACTGAATAAAGTCTCCTGGGTGGGGGGGCGGGATGCAGTAGGACATCATGGGGATTTGACCAGAGTGATCCATGTCTGGCTTCAACTTTGCCAGGCCACATTTGGGGGAGGGGCTTTGGGACAACGATGCACATCTCACTCCACACACATCTGTCTTTCATCCTGCCCTACATCTTGCAGTGACCTGCTTGGGCATTCCAACTCCTTTGCTCTCTGGAGAGCTCCCGAGAGCAGCCCTGGCTAGGAAGGGAGTGGGAAAGGACACGGAACAGGAAGTCCGGAGGGCATACAGGGGTAGGGGCAGCCGGAGGGGCTCCTGCGGCCACTGGTGACCTCATGCAGAGATGGGGATCTTCTGAGGTCTGGGGAGCCCATCCATCTCGGGGGCTCCCCGGTCCTTGAGGCTGAGTCCCCTGCTGAGCAGCCAGAGCTGGGAGCACCTGTGCAGAAGCAGAGGGCCTAGGGGGAGGATCAGCGCCAGCCACGCCAGGCCCAGGAGGATCCAGATGGCAGCCAGGCTTCGGTACACCGAGATGTAATGCTTGCTGGGGTCTGTGCCTGGCAGGGAAGGAGACATGATACATGCCAGGGATCTGAGGTCACAGCCCCCGCTGCCCCAGGTTCCACAGGGGTCCCCGCCGGCCTCCCCATAATGAGGATCTGCAGGGGAGGTCCCCGGGGGAAAGGGCCATGGGTCCCAGGCCACAGATATCTAAGGATGTTAGAATCCTCAGCAGCCTCACAAACTGTTGGTCTCCCCTGGATAACCAAAGACTATCTGATCCTCAAAAGGTGCCTCCTGCTGATATCTCCCCATCCCCTGAATCCCCGTGGCCCCCACCCTGAGCTATGTGACTGCCTTGTTCTCACCAACAACATAGTCCCCGAAGCCGATGGTGCTGAGAGTGATGAAGGCGAAGTAGAAGCCTTCCCCAAAGCTCCAGCCCTCCACATGGCTGAAGACCATGGGTGGGAAGATGAGAATGACCAGCGTCCCCAGGGTCAGGAACAGAGCCAGGCCCAGGATCTGCAGCAGCTGGGAGCGAGAGAGTCTGTCTCTGAGTCTACTTGGAAGGCCCCAGGATTGGGGAGGGACAAATCTGGGAGTAGAGCTGGGCCATAGCTATGTCTCTTCCTGGCCCTGCAGACCTTTGGGGTGGGGATTGTATTCTGTGTGTGCGCTCTTGCCCAGGCCAGGGAATATTTGGTCAGAAGGATGTCATTAGTGGGTCAGGCTGGAATCTGGAGACTCTTCTGGGCCTGGGGATCACACTTGGATAGGCCCTCGGGGGACTCAGATCGGGGATGGAGGACAGCCACTGAACTGTCCCGGATTGCTCTGCACCTCGGCCCTCCTTCATGTGCCTGGCTTTGCAAGGTGCTGGCCAAGCGGGTGGGCACTGGGGGGTGTGCCGGGTGGCCTGGAGTTTATTTTTAACCACAAGAGGAGGTGCTAGAGCTCTGTGATGACCACAGGGATGTGCCGCCCAGATCCCCCTTCAAAGAAGACCTTGTTGACCAGCCTCCAGCTCTCAGCTCCTTGGAGGTGACCCTTGGCTACAGAGGACTGCCTGGCCCAAGGGCACACCCTTCCCAGGAAGGCCACCCTGTGCCTGATGGACACGAATAAAGCCCTGGCCAATTTAGCCCCCTGTGGGGCCAACTTCACTGGCCACACACAATGCAGAACTCCATGAGGGGCTGTCCAAGTCTTTGTTCCAGCCTGATCACAATTCAACCTCTTCCTCGGCACAGCCCTTTCTTCCACAAGCATCTACCCCTAAGACCCTGCCTGCCAAACTGCATCTTGGTGTCAACTTCCATTTTCACCCTGCAGCGGATCCCATCAGGGCAGGGCAGGGGCTGGAAGGGGCTGGAAGGGGGGAGGGGCCCTACCTGGGAGCGCCTGGGCTGCTCCTCCCACCTCTCCAGGGTAGCCAGGTGGCCATGCAGCCCTGCGCCCAGGTGGTTGAGGAAGACCACGTTGAGCGGGATGCCCACCAGGGCGTAGAAGACACAGAAGACCTGGCCTGCCTCCGTGCTGGGCGCCAGGTTGCCGTATCCTGCAGGGGGGAGGAGTGTGCAAACATGGAGAAGAGAGCGTTCAGAGCTGCCTCCTGCACAGACTCTAGCAGAAGGTGGTCTTCCACTACCTCTGGGGATGGAGGGGAAGCTCCTCTGTTCCCAAGAACATTCTCCCCCCTCCCCGCCCCCACTAGAAAGATCTCTATTTGTAAGACTCCTGCTTGTCTTTGAAAGGCCCATCTCCAGGGACACTGCCTCTAGGAAGCCCTCTTGACTGCCACCCTCTTCGTCCTTGCTAGGAGTGATTCTCCATAGTGCTTTGTGCCATTCTTGTCTAATTATCTACTTTGCCTTGTACTATTGTTTTTTGCGTGCTTATCTCATTCCGCTTCACTGGATCAGAAGCTCCTTGAGGGCTGAGCCTGGGTCTGATCCAAGTTTGTACCCTCCTAACTCCCCACTCCCTCTGCTTTAGTTGTCCCCTGAGCTCAAGGAAGGTATGTGGAATCGAATTTAATTGAATGGATGGGTAGACCTTGGAAATGGGGGGTCTGGGGTTTCCTTGGGAGAGGTGGTGTGGGTTTTCTAGGTGAGGGGGTGTAGCAGATGCTGTTGGGTGTCCTGTCCCCTCAGAACACCTGGGGCACCACCTGCAGCTCGGGGGACAGTTCCTGCACACACAGGTGGCTCTCCACCCCAAGTTCCTGCATCTCTACTTGAGAGTGTGCTTGGTCTGTGGGCAAGTTTCAAATACTGGAGAGTTAACACATCCGGGATCAGCTCTCAACCAGCAAGGGCAGGAATTGGTAGATAAATAGCCCGCTTCCTCGCCCCTCACAGGCACTGTTCTGAGGCTGGGCTCTGCCTGGCCTCTCAGAGGGCCCCAGTGGGAGCGAGGCCAGTGACCCTCACTGGGACCCTGCTCGTCAATGCAAACTTTGCTGTCTTTTCTCCCCTCCTGCTCTATCTCCCCACCTCTCCACTCGTGCTTCCTGGCATCATCTCCGAGACAAACCGCATCCTGGTCTCAGCATCTGCTCTGGGGAACCCAAACCAAGACAGGGGCTTTGGGGAAGCCCTTCTCCACCCCGACCCTTTACCTATGGTGGTGACAACTGTGCCTGCAAAGAAGAAACTGCTGCCGAAGTCCCAGTTGCTGGGGTTGGTGGAGTTGCCTTTGGGGTTCACGCCCTTCACCCAGGCTTCCATGATGACCTGTGTGGGGGCGGGGGGTGGCATGGGGTGGCAAGAAGAGGCAGTTGAGGCACCAGCTGGTGGCGAAGCTCTCTGCAGGGTGCTTTCCTGTTATCTCATTTAATGATATCCTTAGGGGCTCTTGTTTCCATTTTTTTTTTTTAAAGATTTTATTTATTTAAGAGAGAGAATGAGATAGAGAGAGAGAGCATGAGAGGGGGGAGGGTCAGAGAGAGAGGCAGACTCCCTGATGAGCAGGGAGCCCGATGCGGGACTCGATCCCGGGACTCCAGGATCATGACCTGAGCCGAAGGCAGTCGCTTAACCAACTGAGCCACCCAGGCGC